GGAGGGGAGGGGAGGGGAGGGGACTACCATGGTGGGACCTCAAGACATGTTTCCTCTTCCATGCACACTGTTCTTGCCTCCTCTTCAACATGTGAATGGCAGATATGGAGGTGCCATCCCTCCTCATTGATTTGTTCGAGTTGGTGAGGAGAGAACGCAACAAGGAATTCGGAAAGACACATGAGACTTCACCCCATGTACAATTTACATTCATAGTCTGGACATGTGCACTCACAACATTACGTTTGAGTAAACACCATTGTGCCCTGTAACTGTTACTTGAATACAAACTAATTCTAATTTCTGGAGAGCTATTAACTTGAAAAAAAATTTAAAAATAAAATAAAATAAAAAGGCAAAGGCAGGCGGGCGCTGAGCAGATGGGAACCATCTCTCAACAGAACCTGTGTTGAGTGAGCAGCAGGGATTGTTTGGGCAGGGCACAGCAGGATTCACCTGGCAAATTTACTCATGGGAGGAGTACAACTCAATGGAATCACAGTACACAACACATACAGCACACTGAAAAACAAAAAGAGGAGGGGTGGGTGTCTCTAGGTTTCAGTATCTGCGGCGCTTTGAGGTCTGATTGTCTCTTTCCATCTAAGCATTTTGTAGGGGGGCGAGAGCACAGGAAATACCACAGGGGAGAGAAAGAGGTGGTGGGGGCTTGTGAGGAGAGGAATCGCATGGCACTGTACAGGCAACCTAGACAAATCCAAACACTCACATTTGCTTTAACATAAAATGCACTTTGATTTAAAACTGAGCAAGAACTGAAACAAGTTCAACAATGCATGCCAAATTTTCACAGAGATTCAAGTTAACTCTTGGGGGTGGGGGGCTATGACAGAAGACAGCCTTGTACGACTGACAGGCTGACTTGAGCTTCATGTCTTAGGTTCAGGCTCGTATGCCAACGCAACATCTACATCTCTGCCTACTGTTTTGTCTCACTGTTAAATTAATTTTTGAAACAACGGAGGAGTTAAATGTCAGTTTGGCTTGAGTGTCCAGGCTGAAGTCGGGCAGATACACATTCATATAGTTACCATTCTTAAACACAAGGCTTCAAACTGCACTAAACATAAAAGCAAAAAAAAACTAAAGTTTAAAAGTACAAATTAAAAAGTATGAAACAGACAGGTAGAGGAGCAGTCAGTAAGGCTGACTGTTCAAACAGTATGTTGCTGGTGCCAGATATGGCTGGTACAGGGTCTGGCCGTAGGTTTCTACCATGAGTAGACTTCATGACACACTGGCAGAGATGTGCTACATTAGTCATAATGCTACTCATATAGCCATCAAATTACACATTGCAACTAAAAGAAACAGAGCTCGGATTTAGCCAGAATACTTGATTAGGAGTAAAAGACAATACTGGTTATAGACAAATGACAAATCAAATACCATTATTAAGGAAAGGTTAACGTTGACACGTCTCACTTTGAAAATGAATGCCCTCAAACCTTTACAATATGTCAGATTTACAGGTAAGAAGATTCTTAATCCTAACATTTAATTAAAGAGCCTTGTTGTGTCCACAGTGAAGCCAACATATTGATTTAAACCTCTATATGTTAGAACAAGAACAAACTATCCTTAATAGTCCTGGATTAATTCCATTTCATTTGACTATGCAGTGGACTGTCAGCATTAATATGCACCCATGTTCTAATAGGAAAAAGGCTTACAATAAAACTTACATGACCCCTTTTAAAATATCATATCTTACAAACAGAAGTAAAACATTTTGAAATGCTATCGTTTTTTCCTTTTTTTTTTTAAACAATGAAACACCAGTTTTACCAGAAAAAAACTGCAACCAACAATAGAAACTTGACTTAGCTACGGAGGAATGCATATGATTTTAAAGGCTACACGTTGTACGTTTGCCAAACACCAAATCAGTGAGTGTGTGTGTGTGGCTAGGAGTAAACATACACACATGCACAGATTGATTTACAGGCCAGTCGTTCCTGCTGAAAATGGTCTGTAGCCACAGAGTGTCGTTATTCGTCAGTGTCAACAGCGTGAGCACCAGGGGTTGGTTTGGGTTCAGGGACTCTGTCGGGGTGGAGTTCCTCTTTACCGGGTGGCGTTTTCACATCCACTAAACCAGCACCAAGACTTCAGGATTTACAATGGAGACATATCCAGCTCCAGTCAAAAAGAGGAGTCTACCTGGGCTTGTTCATAGTGTGTGTAATTTCATCTATACATTAATATTTAGAAAATTTCACCCAGATATTTAAAAATGTTTCTTTTGAAGTTTTTTTTTTTTTAAAAAGCAACTGTGGATTTAAAAACAAAAATTTAACCAAAAAGAAGAAAAAAAAAAATAAAAGGCTAAAATTTTAACAGTAATGGCAATGTTGTAGTTTGTAATCCAAAGAGGGGCTTTTTACACGCATGTTGTTTTCAGTCTTTTCATGTTGTCCCGTTCTGAGACGGTGGTTGAGTTCAATCGGGGGGCAACAGGTCGTGAAGTCGGAACCTCTCCCGAACGTGCGGCCGCACATCCTCGTTCTAAGTTTAGCAGGAAGGAGAACATGAGAGGAAGAGATTAAAAGAACAATTAGATCTCATTCACGGATGGGTTGCAATAGGTCCTATCCTATTGAACAAAAGGACATCTTACCATCTCAACCAACTTCTCCAGGAAGGGCACCAGCTTCAGAAGCTCATTGTCATTCTTGTCCATGAACCAGCTCTCTATGGGAATCCCATTGGACAACTGTTGGGACAAAAAAAAAAAAAAAAACATGTTAATTGGGATTACACAAGTTAAGTTATTCTATATACCCTAACCTGAACTCAAAAGTGCCTCTCCGTGTAAAAAGAGAACTGAAAAAAAACCTAAAATTATTAATATACCAGTTATTCCCACAGCATGTAATAGTTTAATTTTCTGGAATAAAGAACACCTCCACTAATGTCGGAATAAATCATAATCACCTTTACGAAATATAGTATGCAAATTCCGGGTAAAACAAGTCGTGGAATATCATGGAGCAAATGCCACATATACAATGAGTGAGGTGATAAGTCTAATAAATAAATTGATTGTAATAGGAGACGTGTCAGAATCTGTCAGGTTACAAAGATCAATCAACCACACCCTACGATTGCTTCAAAGTAATTAATCAGCAGCACGTGGTAATACAACAAAAGATTCTGAGGTTTTTCATTGAGGGAAAAATAGAGCCAAACGGCTCAGTCAGCCATAATCAGAGTGGGATGTGTGAGAAAGAAAACAAAACCTTTTCCAGTAAGACACCAGTTTGAAGTTAGTTTGATAATCATCACATTTTACCCAACAGAATCTGCATTGAGTTTAAAGTGTGTTGTAACCAGCTGTATTTGTAGAGAGATTTGAAGATCTCCGCCTCCTGTTGCCAAAATCTACAGTTTGAACATTAAAACTCAAAAATATTCTCCTTTGGCTGACTTTGTGACAATTCTTGATGCTTGTTGATAACCACATTACACAAAACCTCCCGTGTTATATTTTGTGTAGGTGTTCACCTGATATGCAAAGGCTTGTGGTGAATTGTCGATGATGATGGTCTTTGACAGATCTCTGCCCAAGATGTTGAGGTCCTTGATGTAGTTTCCCTGGACACAGACACAATGCTCACGAAACAACCTGTGTCTACAGTTACAGTAGGGAACGAAAGGAAAGAGGGAAGAGAGAGAAAAAGAATCAATCAGTGACACGGTCAGAGCAATCAATAATTCAGAAAAACCACAACACTGACACCTCAACAGCCATGCATGCCAACAATGGTGCTGCACACAGCTTTTTCAGCTCTACCTCCTTACATTCAGTCTTGCATCAGCTTTTGGGTTTGTTGGGTAATAACACAAAGAGAACCGTACCTCACTAGCTGCTTTTTAGGATCCAAGATGTTGAGAAGTTTGTCCGCATACACCTTTTTAGAGGCTGTGAAAAGAATGATCTGGGAAAGGGAGAAAACACGGTTAATTTTCCAACTGGCTCCAATCATGATTAATTAACAGGAGTAGTCAGGTTATATTTACCTCATAGATTTGAGACATGCGTTCCAGAAACTCTCTAAAGAACGGCCTCAGGCGCACATACACCTGCAAATGACAACAGACCACTGGTAAGCAAACACTTATGTTAAACACAGATAATGTTTACTGCAGGAAACCAGAAGTAAATCAAGTACAATAACATGTCTTATCGAAATATTTCTCATTTTGTCTGTTAAATTGGACAATTGATTAATTGATTAAATGTATGACAAGACTCTTTTTGTAGTACATCTCTCTACATGTAAGGCTTTTTAGACTTTATCTCCCTCTAGTGGCATCACCAAATAAAGACATTCCCGTAAGACAGCACTTATTACCTGGTAAATGACATCTTGAAAGAGGACAGGGAAGGTAAGTGCAGCATCCTCCAGCTCATTTAAACTGCAGTGAACCAACGTTTCATCCTAATGAACCCCACAGAAAAATACAAAGAAACTTTTGAATTTTACAGCATCTTCCAAAATGTATATTGGAAAATATACATTTCAATTAAAAATAAATAATTTGTTGTTGTATAATATAACTGACCAGGTCTAGGACCAGGGAGAATTCAGGCGTGCTGCGTGTCTTCAATGGCAACGCTGGCTTACGAGTGAGCTGCTCTTCTGTCAGTGGAGGGACGTGCTTGATGAAGAAATACCTACAAATCAAAACATCATACATACTTCAAGTCAATTTAACCATTAGTTTAAACCACAACGTTCTGAGTTGGGCTGCACAATATGGTAAAAAAAACAAAATTTAGACAGATCTGATTCATGATTAGTGAGAATTTCCATTTTCACTGAAAAGAAATCCAATAAAAAATCATGATTTATCATGATGATGACATCTGTTGGGGTCCGTACCAAACAAAAATGTTTTCTTACATCTGGAGAACAGGATTTGTAGGCCAGGGCAGCTTTGCAGCACTTCATTATAAAGCTGTTCTGTCACACATTTTACCTTTAGCAAAAAAGCTTCTGCGATTTGGATATTTCACTTTGCCATATTGCGATGTCACTGACGCTTCAATTAATTGTGCAGCCCTAGTTCTAAGTGGAATATCACAGTTTCACAGAAATGGATGTGACGGTAAACTTGCAGCATACTGTGCTGCAAGTTTGTTAGATTTCCTGTACAAAGACTCACTGTCTAGTCTGCTGTTGGCATGGTTGTAGGTCAGGTTGGTGGGCTGGATATCGTTGTCTTAACTTTAGTTTTGACTTGCTCGAATCAAATATCTCACTGTGCTGCAAACAATGCCCCCATTTGCAGGAAGTAACCCACTTTTGAACCCATGTCTTGCTTATCCCACATGCTTGGTTAAGCAATCCCACTGCCCTTTGGTTTCCAAATATTGGCACTTTGGTTTGGTTGTAAATTCTGTTCAACAGGGTTTGGCCACAGGACTGTTTTACTCACGGGTCAAACACTTCCCAGTCTTCCTCATAGGATGCCTCTGGTGGTACTGCAGCAGGAGGAGAGTCCACATATGCCATATCTGGACTGGAGCCTGGAGCTTGGACCACAAAAATAACAAGATGAGAAAAAGGAATATGAAATTGCAAGCTAAGCAGATCCAGTGATTGTCACTTCATTAGTATCTCAACACGAAGTAAACCTTTCAATGCGTCAAACACATTTTCTTAGCTTCAGTATCTACCTGTGAGGGGTGGAAGGTCAGCATCAAGCTCTCCCTCCACGGCTGTGGGAGATACCTCGGGGATGTGCGGAGGTCGCAAAGGTGGCAGCTGTGATACACTAGAGTAGAAGTTAGTGGTGGCACACACTTCCTGTGTGGATGTGACTGTGCTGGTGGGCATCTCTACAGGCTGCTCCATTTCTAACTGCTTCACTATCTCCTCTGCCTCCAATGCCTGGTCTGGAGAGTCTGAGCCAGAAGAGGCTGAAAAAACAAACAGAAGAAGGCATTGAGAGAATTTTTAGTAAGAACATGTCAAAAGGAAACTAGTGAGGGGTTTACGCGTCAACAGGCTTCCTCTGGGTCTGATTACCATTTTTAGCTGGTGAGAAGAAGTTGAAAACAGGGGAGAAGATGGTCCCGAGAAGGGTGGTTCTGGGGGGGCTGGTGGGCACCTCAACGGCCGTCGTCTCCTCCAGACTGCCATTGGGCTTCTCCTTACTCCTGTCATGATTGGTTGCCTCTGCAGAGGTGAAGTAACAGGTTTAGGAGAGTTTGCAGAAATAAGTGACAAATGAAAACTCTTTTTTTTCCCCCTTTGAGTACTACTCACGTCCATTGAGGGAGCCTCTCCTTCCAACCCTGCTGATAGTCTTGCGGGGGTTGTTGGTGTTCGTTGGGGTGGAGGTGATCAGGTTGTTGTCCACATCACAGTGGAGGCGTGTCTTCTTGGCTGGGCTCTCCTGCTGCACCTTAAGGAGATAAGACATCATGCAGTAAAACGGTTGCAAATAAAAACTGTCAAATAGATTTTTGCCCCTAATCTCTGTGTGATTTTGGGCTGTCTAAGATGAAAGTAGACAACTGTGAGAGAAACATAGTGAAATCTTCCAGATGACAGAGACATAAAAAAAATGTTTCCTTTTCTAAATTCTGAAATTTACGACTAAATTCAGTCAGTCGAACTACTGCCATGACCTGCATCTGAAAATCAACCAGTGTGCAGCATAAAGAGATTTTACGTTTTATTACATTCATCTTACAACCTAAAATATCAGTTATCTAGTGTAGAGATACCATAAGATAGCCATAATAAAAAAGGGAGAAGTTTAATCCATCTTTTAATCCATCCATCTTGTTAAGGAACAATAGATACAGAAAGGCATGAAAAACCTGAAGATGTACGCTACAAGTTTTAAATCAGGAATTAAATGTAGGGATTACCACAAAATTACATTACATAAAAACATCAAAAAGCCCACACATCTTTCCAGAGCAAAAGCTTCTTTTAGCCGCATTGACTTTTCCACTTGTTACTACCTCCTGTCCCTGCACACCAACTCTGTGAGCCAGAAGCTAAAATTAGAACCGGGTCCGGGTTCTCAGACAAGCTGCTGCATTCCACCAGACATTTCTTGGGAAACATGACACTCTGCACCAAGAAACACTGTATTTAACTCAGAGACCTGGAGAACACAGTGCTAAATACTGTTTTTGTTATACAGAGAAGTGCCAAAAAGTTTAGGTGACACGGTTAAACCAAACACAGAGGAGAAGGCGACAATATATCAATGCTCCCAGAAGGGGCACCACACTCATATTTGCATTGAACTCAATTAAAGGGCAGGGTGGTTTGATGTGATCATAGGAGGCAATTACCTTGACAGCATTTCCTCTGATGAACTTCTTGATGGTCGAGAACAAGCCCCTCCCACCCGTGGAAGGAGGGTCCTCTTCTACTTCTGAATGCCTCCGCTTGGTACGAGATGGGCGGCTTGCCAGAGTGGGGTTCGGTTGCTGAGACGCCTTACGCATTCTCAGCCTCATTGTTTTAGCAGTCACATGTAAGGCTGTAAATCAGACATGGGGAAAGATGACAGACACAGAAAAGAGAGAGGAAGGAAATCATTATGACTGTACAGTCAAGGAAACACATTAAAAGCAAATACTAGCGGTTAAGGTGGACAAACAGGTTGTTCGAACTGTTTAACAATGAATACGTCTATGCGGCGCATCTATCTGTAGTGTACTGGTGCGTGTTCTGCCAACATCTGGATGCATTCAAGATCCCATTTCACTTACATCACAGTGGATCACGGCAGCCACAGCTGGCTTTACTTCCATTTGTACAGTGTTTTTTTAAAAAAAGAAATAACATTACCCAGGGTCTTACTATACACACACACACACACACACACACACGAGAACTCCCTTTTATTATTAGCTACGCACATACAAGATCAATGTTTACGTCAAGACAACAAAGCACGGTGACTGTAAAACTCTTTATTCTCAGCGTTGTCCTCGAGTACAAACAGGGAAAACGTAAAAACTATTTCACAGGCAACACAAATTGTCTGTCAGGCATGCCAGGCCCTTGCGCTTACATAACAGCAGCTGGCTTAAAATGTGTCTGGACATATCCACAACCTGTCAGGAACCATAAACACACAATAGCACCCTCTCAACACGGTACGTCTAACATACTGTAAATGCCCCTCACTACATCTGCTTCGCATTTACATGGGGGGTGTATCCATGAGGTGTACATGCTGTTGCTCAATCGTGCACTGCACACACAAAAACACAGTGTCAAATTAATGTGCAAATCTCCAACAGTGGATTCGCATGAATGTCAATGTACTGATAATTCAAGGATACACTCATTAACTTTATTATAACATACAACATGCAGTCAAATTACTTTATTTTGTTTCATTTGGAGGCGCAGCTTCACTACAACATATAGAGAAGAGTTTACAGTACAACTCCAGATGAAAATGACAAACTAGTTCCTCAAGACTCAGTAGTCGAGATTTTTTTAGATCCTTTCAGAAAATACAAACTGTATGTCCTGTAACTACCAACCAAGGCGGCTGTAGGAGAAGGAAGTTATCTACCTGTTAACATACAACCAAAACAATCTACCATTGAGATGTAGCCATCAGTGCAGACGCTGTCCTCAATAAATTAATTAGATCTGTATAAAGTAACTCTGGCTCATGTTACTTCTGCAGTTCAGTGCTGCACTAATCAGAACATCAGTATTGATGATGGTCTCCTTGTTTGGTAAATATCCTCTTCATAATGTCTAACACTTTCCCCCTTTTTCTAACCAATGCACCGACAGTTCAAGCTGTTATTTGACATCTTGAGCCAAAACATTTACCACGAACCCTCAGGAGAAGAACTGACTGATGCTGCAAATTGGTATTATTCAGGAATCTCTTTTGTATGAGATTAACCCTGTAATGTGATAAAGTCTATTATACATAGATATTTTAACAGAGGAGCTGTTCCAGGAGAGATAACTACATTATTTAATGCTATTCTTAGCCTGATCCTTCATCCCGTGTCTATTCTTATACACCGCATAATGTCCAACACATCAGGTATTTTCCTGTTGCTGCTAAATAATAAAAAAAAAATAAAAAAACGACGTGTCTGTTATATTCACTGTACGCGTTCGCGGTTCGCATGTCAACAACACCATAGCTGCAAAAAAAAAAAACATCCACCTTTTCTAGGCAATCGCCCACCAACCATAACTCATGCACACAGCTAGGTACGAGCAAGTGAGCGGGAAATAAGAACATGCATGCTACTGAGACTGTACGGGCGAGCTAACCCAACGCTAGCCATGGAAACACTGGAGAAACAAGCGAGGCCCTCCCGACGAGCCTGTCCTCTCCACAACATTTACTCCTTCGCTAAGGTGAACCGACCGGCTGAACAAGTGGCTAGAGCACGTGTGGAACAAATACAATAAAACACACATTTGGGAAAGGTTAATGACACACACAGCTGTTGTTTTGCTTCAGCTGTGCCGAAATCAGCGTTTGTAAAAGTTGCACAAACATAATCCCGACTGGCCAGTTTGCGTTGCTGCTAATGAAGCTACCGCTACCTGAACTACAAGAGGTCGTGTTACATGTTACAGGTTATAAATGTGTGTAACATTACTTTGTACAACTACAGTCTGTCTCTTTTTTTAAAGCAATGTCAGCGTACACAAGTGGCGCCGATAGGAAACGCCACACTGTTTATACGACTCGACATTTACAGTCGGTAGCATTTCAACACGAAGCCCCAAACAGGGCTAACTCACCGTCAGACAACCAGCGCGGCATCGTAACTTGAGTTAAATCACGTTAAAAATACGAGTTAAAGTAAAAAACATTAGTTGGCGAACAGCCGAGAAGTTTTCCGAGCGGGTTGACTCGACTGTCTCCTCGGATTGTGCACATTGTTTGAAAATGTTGGCGTTATTTTCTGACAGCGAAACTCGCCGAGACGTCGTTAATCACAACAGCGAGCTAACACAGCAACGATATCTTTAAACCAGCACAGTCGATGAGATTTCATTCACAGACTGAGCTGTACGAGCCCTGTCTGTCCGCCTCAACACACACTGGAGGGGTGTGAAATAAGAAAACACAACACCAGCTGGTTAATGTTAATTAAAAAATTTTTTTAAAAAAGCGAAGTTGTGTTGAGGAATGCCAATTTACCCGTTAGCATCAGAGCTAGTTAACGTTAGCTGCCCGCTCATTGTCTGAACGAGCTGCAAACATCTCCACTGAGTGATTCATGTTTTATTTAATCGTTCATTTAATGGTTTTGGTTACAGGAAAGAAGGAGGAAGCTAAAATTAGATACGGCGTCGAGTCCACCGGGAATTAATCGGGTCCGCGGTAGGCCGTGTTTTAGCTTAGCACAGTTAGCTTAGCGTCAACCCTGCCTAGCCTTCTTGAAAAACTGCTTCGGGCAAACAGATGTGCACAGACAGGGAAGGAAAATATTTATCCTGTCGTTAGCCAACATTACACAAATGCACGGAGGGGAAGGGAAAAAAAAAAAAAAAAAGGTTGGTTAACGTTATCGACTTACTTTACGGTGATCCGCAGTATCTGGAGATAACGACTCAACACCGATGAACCATCACAACACACACAGCGGTTGTTTTCGTGATCTGATCCGACTTTTCTTCTGTTATATATCTTCTCAAGGGCCGTCTCCGAAATGACACATCGTTGTGTTACCAGGCGCCATTTCCCGCCTCTGCTCAGTCTCTCCGAGGCAGATACCCGTATGGGACACAGACACACCCCCTTACCTCTCAAAAACACCAGCCACAGTCTGCAGCGAACACTTGCTTCTGTCTTCTTACAGCTTTCAGGAAAGGTAAAGGGCAGTCTGTGTGTGGCTGCTCTTTTACGAGCAAGTGGTAAGCTACTGGATATTTAAAAGGGTATTTATGGTTCTTAATATAGGCTACTGGGCAGATGTTTTATCATTACTAAAAAGAAAAACACAGGATATTACAATTATCAACCAAAGGCATTCAGGTGCCTATAATTACAAAATACCTAAGTAGTTCATTCACGACTGGTGGCAAACTATCATTTCAACCCCTACATTGACTCTAAAGCACTATCACAACTGAGAAATGACATGACGCATCACCTTTAATTAAATTAAATTACATTCAATGTGCCTTTCCATGAGAAATCAACTTTCCTGGCTGCACAAACAGAACTGATTTCATGTTCACGGATTTCCCTAAAGGTGAGGAATTAAGTTTCCTCAGTACAAATGGTAACAGATCAACTACAGTATGTACAAGAGAGACCTCAGTAATGGAAGCATGTGTACAGTATGTCAGTTCCATATGTGCTTGGTTAATCTTTGCACACTGCAGAGGATACTAACATTGCTCTAAGTATTGCTTAAGCATCAGTATTTTGCTCAGTTTGA